GTCCTTCCAGAAAATTTAAGGTCCCATTTATGTACAGGAATAGCCTTAGAAGACATCAAAGGTGGAGGACTAGTTGTCACAGGGGTAGATGAAGCAGCGCCCCAGCCCAAAGATACGTTCAGGGATCTTTCAAGGCCTTCCAACTCAATTGGCCTAGAAACGGAAGCAATGGCCTTCGTTAACCTATCCTTCAAAGACAAAGCCTCACGGAGAACAACGGCACGATCCTCACATAATTCACTCATACGCCTTATTCGCCCCAAAATATGCCAAATCTTAGTTTCAACCTTCTTAGCATTCTTAGATCGAAAATCATCTAACAATGTGGTAATTTCGGCCAATTTACCCTAACCGCTAACAAATCTTCCTCCTCTGTGTAAGGGTTATCTGGGTAATCGTTGACCAAATCAGGGTTAAGTTTCTCCTTCTGTAGTAAAGAAGCAAACAACCTACGCATCTCATCAACACTAGAGGGATCCAAACCTCGGACAGCAAATTCGTAACTCAATACTTCCTTAGAAAGCTAATTAACCGTGACCTTAAGAGCCATCCTAAAAGAGTTGATCTCTCCTTGAACCAGAGAAGAGATTGGTCAAATCGAAAACAGGGAACCGAAGAGTCGAAGTAATTGGAATGGAGTTAAGACACAAATCGAAGTCACTTTGTGTCTTCGATACAAATAAGGGCTCTGAAAAAATTAAGGACTTCCAAGACAATACGACGAGGGCTCCAAAAGATATGGGCCTCCAAAATGGTCTGGCCTCCAAAGCAATCGGGGCCCCACGTTGGGCGCCAAAAATGTGTGGCACTTCTTTTTAAACAAGCAAAAGGGCAAACAAAACACCAGATGATGTCAAGGTTACATAAAGGTTTACTTACCTCAGCCAGCCTTTAGACAGTGGAGACGGCGTGGATTTAAAGTAATATTCAAAGATGTTAATGGGCGCCATGTTAGATTTTATATCATATTAGATTTATTTGTATCGCCTCATTTGTTTAGTCTGGATTTGAAGTGTCTCCAGTCGCAAGATTAGGGTTTTTTATCGTATTATTTATTGGGTTGAGTTAATTGTGGGAATGCGTTGGGGTGTATATTTCGATGTTTAGGTAAGGGTTTTTAGTTATGACCTAAAATAAAGAAGGAGCCTGCGAGCTCAACTCGTATCAGTCATTCAGCCAGTCTTCGATTTAACACACACCGAAACAGTACCCCTTCAATTTACGCGGAGCAAGGCTCCCTATATAATTCTCGCCACAATTAATCGCAATTTATATGTATAGTTTAAGTGTAATTAATAATAAAGTTGATGGAAACGTAAAACCAAGATTTTGTTGTTAACCAGCGCCCACCAGGTAAAAAATAAATAATCAGGCGCCACGGACTTATATAAAACCTTTACGAACGAAACCACACCCTAATCAAGTCCGAACTTAGAGTTACAGAAAGGAATGAGAACAAATAACCAACAACCACATTTGAAACTGAAGAAAGAATATCTATATTATATGTAATCGTAGAAAAATATTCATGTATACACATGTAAATATACGTGGATATATAAAAAAATATATAATGACAATTGGAACAAAGTTCCCAAATTATAAGAATAAAGTTTATACAACTTAATCAAAATGTTGCTGTAATCGCATACAAAAAAAGAAAATATAGCACCCCCCTGTATCGTAAGTTACACAATTACGCTCCTAACTTTATTTAAAAAAAATGAACAAAAAAACATTATCGCGAAAACTTTTCATATTGGCCAATTTGAACAGTAAGGGGATATCAAAAATAAACGATAAAAAAAAATTATAACCCCAAATGCAATTACCCTTACAAAAATGTAAATAATTAAAAAAATAATACTTTGAATTGTCAAGACAACAAAAAAGTTAACAATTAATATATATCAGATTTTAGAAGTTGAGTAACTCTAACTTCTCTGATCAAAATTCAGATTTTATACAAAAAAATATAAAAGTTGATGTTCACATAAAACAAAAAAATACAACTTAGCCTTAATCTTCTACGGGCCCAAACAGCATCCCACGGTTCCAATTCCAATCCAATTCAGAATAATCTTCTCCAAACAGATAACAAAGGTACCAAAATATTGAGGTTATGGATGACCCAAATCTGTCATCAACAGATTTCAAATGACTTTCAAACGACTTTCGATGGCGCAGTTTCAAGATGACGTTCTAAAAATTCTTCCACTAAAATTCTTTACCAAGGGGAAGATGATCTCGTCGATTGGTGGGTTGATAATCGTTCAACACGATTAAGACATTCCACGGAGGACCAAAACTACCGTAAACGCCTCCAATAAAATAACCTTCGTTGAAACGATGATGGCGTCGCTGTTAACGTACGTGATCCAGTTTTATATCCGCAATTGCGACGTCGAAATTTATCGACTAATAATAGATACGGAAGTCCACAAATCCCATCAAATGGTCGAAAAACAATCCCAGTAACAACCAAACTCAATGATTGATTCTTCAAAAGGACTAAACCATTCTAAAATTTAACTGAACCACTAACGACAGTGAGACAAGATCTTCTCGAGACCACGACCTTTTCTCGTCTCTGCCAGATCGCAACAAAAAGAAGCACGCAACAACTCCACTAAAAAAAGCGCGAACTATTAGAATATGAATACGAAAAATAACGATTTAAAGAACGAAATCTAAGAAATTCAATAACCTCAAACGGAACCATTACACTCTTTTAAAGATTCCACCTCTTGTTTTCACATTCACTACGCGCACTATTAAGTCTTGTCCAGGAAAAACATGCACAACTCTGCCTAGTGGCCAATGTAATGGTGGCAAGTTGTGCTCCTTGAGTAGCACCAAAGCTCCGATGTGTAGATGGGGCTCATTTTGGAATTGCCATTTAGTGCGCTACTGCAGGCTATGTAGATATTCCTTATGCCATCGTGACCATAAATGTTGTCTAATTCGTTTCAAGTGCAAGTACCTCTTCGTAAAGTTGATGCGGTGTCTAATAAATTATCTTCTGGTATGGCCGTGAGTGGTTGCCCAATTAAAAAATGGGCAGGTGTGAAAGCGTCAAGGTCGTTTGGATCGGAAGTTAGTGGAGTAGTTTGGTTGGGAATTGAGTCGCTTCTACTTGGGTCAATAAAGTATAAAATTCTTCGTAGGTTAAAGGTATGCCGTTTAAAACTCGTTTAAGCTGCCGTTTACATTTATTTGATTTAGGTGGTATGAAATGCCATTTGATTTTACATTCATTAAGATGTTTCTGGAGTGCGCTTGATTCAATAAATTTGTAAATTTATTTTAATTTATTGTTTGCCCCAACGAAATTTGTAGCATTGTCTGAATAGGTATCTGAGCAGATTCCTCTTCTAGCAATAAATCGTTGTAACACAGCTAAAAAACCATCACTCGTTATATCTGATATCAATTCTAAGTGTACAGCTTTAGTAGCAAGACATACAATTGTGCCAATATAAGCCTTTATGATCGCCTTTATGACCTCCATTTTGGTTTGTTCAGACTTGAGTTGATCTCTAAAACATGTTAAACATTTATTTATGTGAGCCTTTACTAATTTTCTGCCATTTAAGGGCCCGAATTTTCGTCTGATATGTACTAGAGTGTTTGTCATTCCAGCATTAAGTGTTCTTTTATGTTCTTATGCGATAACCAGCTCAGTAAACGAATGATTGCTTGGTGTTTTTGATTGTATGAAACATCAGAGAATATTATGCGTCCGCCGTCGCGTATGATAGCGTCAGAATCTAAGAATGGGGATAATGCTTTGGTTTTACTTTTTAAATTAACTGTAGCTTCTTTTGTTAAAGAATCTAATTCATTGGCAAAACATTGTTTTTGTACTATCCCTATTAACGTCTTTTCTGCTGTATCAATCTCCGAGTTTTCCAATGCACCCAGCTTTCTGTTTTCTGAAGTTCCCTTGACATTATTGTAAAATCTTAAACAAAGTGCTACAGTGCGTATTAACCTTTTAAGGGAAGAGTACCGCTTAAAAATGTCGAATTCGGTGTTTATTATTAACCCTAAAATACTATAGTGGTTTTGATATACGTGAATACTATACTGTCGTAAACTTGACGATCATTAAAAAAACATTATATAGAAAGCGCATTTTTATTACAAAATATGTACAATCTATGAAGATATCTTGCTTACGTATTCAGTAACACAATAATATATAATAAACCTTATATTCTTAATGCGAGGCGCATTCGGTGCAGTAATTTCCACGATGCGTTCCACAAAATGCCTTTCTACACTGCACATAATAGGTGGTGGTCATTCGCCTTAATTTGCTCGGGCAGTAAAAACAAATTGTACGTTTTTTGTCTTGAGAAACCGTATTTTCATCCACCACATCTACCTTCAGTATTTCGCAAATGTTTTGGCGTAGATTTCGACGCAAACTTGGAACGCTTATTCTGTGCTCCATCCACGGCTTTGCAAGGCGATAGGCCAATTCAATGATAAATCCTTCCCGTGATAAAGGTTTTCCGCCCCTCTTAAACGTATTGTAGCAATATACTATATATGAATTAATACTGGCTGAATTTACCATTCCGTAAAATACACATAACGGCCATCTTCTGGTTTTTCGACTGCAACTCATATTTGAAGAAAGCTGATCAAACGTATCGACCCCTCCTTTGGTTTCATTATAATTAAGAANGAGGGTAACAGTGACCTCTGTGTGAAATTTGGTTACCCAAATCGTATTAGTTACGGAATTATTAATGTTTTAAGTTTATTGCTGGGATTTATGGATAACTTCACACCAGTACGCAATTCTACTATCAACATTTTCATTTTGGTCCTTCGAGCCGCACTTTCTGAGACGACCTTAACGACGTGGAAGCGGCAAGAGAGGTTAAGGGCGTAGAGCACGTGAAATACGAACTTGAGAAAGGAAAAGTAAGTAAGTCTCCTTTTTATTCCTTGATTTCCTGTGAATCCTTTAATTATCGTGTTCAACAATGGATTTACAAGAATTATTACGAAAACGCGGAACAATAAAAGCTCAATTAACTCGATTTCAAACGTTTATTGATGAATTTACGAACGATAAAGTCGATCAATTGGAGGTTAGATTAGAAAGAATAACTGGTTTTTTGTCGGATTTACATGAGGCTTTACAAGATCAAATCGAAGCGCTCGATAAAACTCAAGAAACTGATCGCGAAACATTTGAAGACAAATATTACGAATTAGTCGCAAAATCAAAAAATTTAATTTTAAATAAAACAAAAATCGTTGATTCGGCAACGTTTTCGGCATCAGGCAATTTTACAAATAACACGTTAAATATTAAATTACCCAAAATTTCATTACCAGAATTTCATGGATGGTATGATAAATGGTTAATGTTTTCGGATACCTTTAAATCGTTAATTGATGAGAATGAGCAGCTAAATAAAACACAAAAATTTTATTATTTGAGATCGTGTTTGAAGGGTGAAGCGGGGCAGGTCATAAACGCGCTTGAAGCGTCAGACGCGAATTATCTCGTCGCGTGGGAATTACTAAGAAACCGGTATGAAAACAAACGTATCATCGTGCATACTCACGTAAGGGAATTGTTTGAATTAAATGCTTTAAACCAAGAATCGCATNTTTACCATTCCGTAAAATACACATAACGGCCATCTTCTGGTTTTTCGACTGCAACTCATATTTGAAGAAAGCTGATCAAACGTATCGACCCCTCCTTTGGTTTCATTATAATTAGGAATCATCATTGGTTCACCATTTTCTTCTGAAATTTCCGCTCCGTCATGCATGGTCGATAGCAATAAAACGATTTTATTTTTTTTCGGTTCGTAAGACACCAATGTGTTGTTTCGGTCAAAACAAAACATTGAAGTTTTAGGATTCCTTCCTTTCGTTTCTAACAGTTGTGGGGGTATCTTCCGTTTATTTTTTTTTATTGTTCCTAACATCGTAAGTGTTGGGATTTTAGTTTCTTAAGTTGTTTTTTTTTTAAATGTTTTATGTTGGTAACACTGTTGACCTTGATGTAACCGTTAAAAAACCGTAATATGGCAATAGATGTATTGAGGTGTGGTTTTCTACGAAAGTACTTATAGCATATATATATTGCGTTTCAACGCAATTCACTGGTGTGAAGTTATCCATAAATCCCAGCAATAAACTTAAAACATTAATAATTCCGTAACCAATACGATTTGGGTAACCAAATTTCACACACAGGTCACTCTTACCCTCAAGAACAGCTAACCACCCCCATTTGGTAAAAAAAANGGGGCAGGTCATAAACGCGCTTGAAGCGTCAGACGCGAATTATCTCGTCGCGTGGGAATTACTAAGAAACCGGTATGAAAACAAACGTATCATCGTGCATACTCACGTAAGGGAATTGTTTGAATTAAATGCTTTAAACCAAGAATCGCATACGCATTTAAGAAGATTAGTCGACCATTTTCAAAAACACTTACGAGCTTTGGACAGTTTGGATCAACCAACCAATAGTTGGGACACAATTTTGATTCATTTAATAGTTTCTAAGCTAGATAATAAAACTAAAAGAGCATGGGAATGTTCAATAACAACCACAGAATTGCAACATTAAAACAACTTTTGGATTTTTTAATTAAACAATGCATTTTGCTGGAAACTTTAGATAAGGGTAAAGCCACATCAAAGCAAAACATAAATTCGTGTTTATCAACAACAAATTCTAGTTGTTATTTATGCAAGGAAAATCATTTTCTTTATAGATGTGAAAAATATTTAAAATTATCAATAAAGGCGAGACTTGAAACGATAAAAAGTTAAAGTTATGCATAAATTGTTTAAAACTCAATCACGTAACCAAAGATTGTAAAGCAAGTACATGTAAAAAGTGTAATAAACCACATAATACATTATTGCATTTTGAAGACGTTGTTAATAAAATGTAAGAGAAACCAATTGAAAAACCGGCTGAGTCGTCAGTAGTAAGCGGACATACAATGTGCAAAAGGTTCGAATATGTTTTATTGTCGACAGCAATTATAATTATAAAAGATGTTAGTAGTCAACCGATAAAGTGTCGTGCACTAATAGACTCTGGTTCTCAATCTAATTTCATAACAAAGGATCTATTTTTAAAGTTAAAACTGAAAAAATCTAACGTGTCCATACCAGTTGTAGGTATAAACGAATCATCTGCCAAGATATCCCGTATGACTCAAGCTCAGATAAGCTCAACAAATGAAAATTATAAGAAGAAACTATCTTTCCTAATTATTGATAAAATCACTGATCGATTGCCGCAACAAAACTTAGATATATCTGATTGGCGTATCCAATCGTTAAGGAATGAATACGTAAAGTTTTTGGACGAATATAAAAGGTTGGGCCACATGACACTCCTTGAACACCCGAATGTAGCAATGTAATAACAATTATTTACCACATCATTGTGTGTTGAAACCAAGTAGTACAACTACTAAATTGAGGGTAGTGTTTGACACATCAGCAAAAACGACCAATGGCGTATCACTAAATGATGGTTTACATACAGGACCAGTCATACAAGATGATCTTCGTTCAATTTTATTAAGATTTCGAAAACACAATTACGTGGTCACTGGAGATTTAACAAAAATGTGTAGACAGATAAAAATACAACAGGAACAAACTCATTTACAACGAATTGTATGGCGCACAGATCCGGATAACGAGATTGAACATTATGCTTTAAACACTTTAACTTACGGAACAGCTCCAGCTTCATTTTTGAGTACACGTTGTCTGAAACAGCTATCCATTGAAAATAAACAATCATACCCAGCAGCAGCACGCGCTATTGAGGAGGATTTTTACATGGATGACCTGTTGACGGGATCAAATTCAATTGAAAATGCGATAAAATTGGCTGATGATATAATTTCCATTTTACATAAAGGAAAATTTGAACTTAGATAATTTAATTCTAATAGCAATGAAATTATAAAGAGCAGATTTGCGAATGACGTTTGTTTAATAGAGACAAAAACGCTTGGAATTATATGGAAGGCTGAAATAGATCAATTTGCGTATGCATTTAGATGTTAAGAATAAACGTATCACGAAAAGAACTATATTGTCTATTACATCTCAAATTTTTGATCCACTGGGTTTAATCGGTCCAATCATCATTAGAGCCAAAATATTGCTTCAAAAATTATGGCTGTTAAAAATGTCATGGGATGAAACAGTACCACCAGACATTCATAACGAATCTTTTACACTTTTTGACGACTTAAAAATTGTTAATAAAATTAGTGTACCACGACATGTATTGGTGTTAGATAGCGTTCATGTTCAGATACACGGTTTTTGTGATGCATCCAGTCTAGCGTATGGAGCCTGTGTTTACGTAAGAAGCATCGATTCTAAAGGAAAAATTATAGTACGTCTGCTGACGGCAAAATCGCGAGTAGCACCATTAAAGGTAATATCTATTCCTCGACTTGAACTATGTGCAGCTGAATTGCTGACGAAGTTGATCACCAGTTCAATAAAAGCTTTAAACATGAAATTCGACGACATATGGTGTTGGACAGATTCCACCATAGTATTGTCTTGGTTAAGCATGCAACCAAATAAACTAAAAACATTTGTCGCTAATCGAGTCTCTAAAATTCAATCTTCAAATGTAAGTCATTGGAGACACATATCGACCAAAGAGAATCCTGCTGACATTATTTCTAGAGGAATCTCTACTACCGACCTAGAGGAATCTGATTTGTGGTGGACAGGTCCTCGTTGGTTGAAGTTAATGGAACACGAATGGCCAAATACAAAGTATGATAGAATACAACACGAAAGCCTACCGGATATAAGATCTTTCAAAGTAACTCATCAAGATTTCGACTTCGATCTTTTCGAGAGATTCTCTTCTCTTCGCTCATTGGTGCACGTAACGGTTTTATGCTTCAGATTTTCCAACAACTGCAAGATTTCTAAAGCAGATCGTAAATTAGATACATTGTCACTAACAGAATATAATACTGGATTTGACATTTTAATCAAAATTGTGCAAAAAACGGTATACAAAAGAGAAATAAGCGATTTGGAGAATGGCAGAACTGTACATCGAAGTAGCAAGTTAATTTCTTTGGATCCTTATTTAGATGAAAACGGTATATTACGTGTAGATGGTAGACTCAAAAACGCACCAATAGATTTTAATCAAAAACACCCTACTATTTTGCCACAGCACAGATTTACATACCTGTTAAACAAAAACATTTAGAACATCTACATGCTGGAACTCAAACCCTTTTAACGATCATTCGTCAAGAATTTTGGCCGATAAACGGTAAAAACATAATAAAAACGGTTTTAAGAGAATGCATCATATGTTTTAGAGCAAATCCGACAAATTTTTCAAATCCAAAAATGGGCGAATTGCCTCGAGACAGAACCGTACCGGTTAGACCCTTTTACATAACGGGTATAGACTATGCAGGTCCATTTTTAATAAAGAATAGTCATTTGAGAAATCGCAAATTCGTAAAGGCTTATATCTGTATATTTGTATGTTTTGTGACGAAAGCAGTACACTTAGAATTGGTGACTGACTTGTCGACGGACGCATTTTTAAATTGTTTGAAGAGATTTATTGGTAGACGCGGCGTATGTGGAACTATATACTCTGATAACGCTAATAATGAATTGTTTAAGATTGTAACCGAGTTACAGAAGGATGAAAAACTGATACATTATTTTGAGGTAAAGCAAATAAAATGGCAATTCATCCCAGCTCGTACATCACATTTCGGAGGTCTTTGGGAGGCAGCGGTGAAATCGGCGAAGTATCATCTAAAAAGAATTGTATAAAATACGCGATTGACTTACGAATCTTTTTATACTTTATTAGTCCAAATCGAATCAATCCTAAATTCCAGACCATTGTGCCCTTTATCCCAAGATCCTTATGACTTACAAGCACTTACACCGGGGCATTTCTTGATTGGTGAGTAATGACTCACCAATCAACGTTTCCAACCCTACCTCAACGAAACGTTACGGAAATACCAACCAATAGATTAAATAATTTTCAACAATTACAACAAATGTGCCAAAATTTTTGGAAAAAATGGTCTTCAGAGTATTTACATACTGTCCAACAACGCAACAAATGGCGAATCGACGTTCCAGAAGGTATCCGAATAGGTGACTTGGTACTACTTAAGGAGGACAACATTCCTCCGCTACTTTGGCCATTAGGACTAGTGACCGAGTTGCATCCTGGCAATGATGGAGCAATACGAGTGGTGAGTATTCGTACTAATCGGGGTGAGGTGAAACGTGGTGTGAAAAAGGTGTGCTTTTTACCTAAGAGTGAATAAAAAAAAACACAAACTGATCGTAAGACTTTAGTTTAATATTTGATATTGATTTTGTTTGAATTTTTTTTGACATGGATATGTCAAGGCGGCCGGTATGTTGGGGTTTTAGTTTCTTAAGTTGTTTTTTCTTAAATGTTTTATGTTGGTAACACTGTTGACCTTGATGTAACCGTTAAAAACCATAATATGACAATAGATGTATTGAGGTGTGGTTTTGTACGAAAATACTTATAGCATATAAAAATCATTCAATAAAGATGCAAGTTCAGTTCATATTGTGTGGTCTATAACGTGGCCGA